CCTGTGCTATTCATGAAAAAATATCTTTCCAGAAGATAAAAATAAATCTTGAAATCAAATTATATCATTATCTAGGCAGGTGGTTACTATAGCAGTGAAGAAAAAAAGACAGGAAAATTGACTCAAGATTTCCAGAGGCAGAAAAATATATAAAGTACTCCAAGTTTACAAAATGATAGTTTTGAGAAACCTAGTTAAAATGTGAGTGAGCTGTGGGTCTTGCTCTCTCTTCATTTCGATGCCAAATGAGGCCAGACAGGCTTCCTGCCCAGAAAGTGACGAACAGTGTGTTGCATCAAATTGATTTTTTCTGGCCACCAGAGAAACCAACCAACTATCACCACAGAGCCAGCGCCATCAATTATATAAAGAAAAACTAATTATCTGATGAAGAAAATATATTTGTTCATCTTTGAGAATTCCATATACACATATACTAAAATATGATCATATCTATTTCCTGTTTCACCCTCCATGTGTTCACATAGCCCTCTCATACATGTTCCTCCCAACCTAACATTCTCAGTCTCATCCACTAAGACCAATTAGTGCTGACCATGTGTACACAGAGGTGGTGCCTTCTGTTGAAGAATAGGAAACTTAACCAATGGCCATACCCACAAAGAAGAATTATTCTCAATTCCCCGCATCTATCAACTGCAACAAACTCCTAAATAAGGGGATGGACCTAGTGAGCACCTCTTCCATCAATGCTAGTATTTTTGTCTTACTTGATTTGGTGCAGATAATCAAAGATGCCATGAGTTCCTGGGTGCAACAATCATGGTATTCCTGCATTTCACAGCATTCTTCCTCATCTTTCAACTCTTGTACTCTTTTTCTCTCCTCTTCCATTGTGTCTCCTAAGCCTTGGGGTATGAACATGTCCCATTTAGGGCTGTGTATTCATAATTTGTTATTTTTAGTAGATTCTGCATTGACTGCTAACAACTGAAAATAATTAACCAAAGTTGAGAGAAGCCCAGATATATGAATATAAATGTAAATATTTAGAAGGCAACTTGATAACATGATAATTTAGCAAAACATTAGCAGGATCCAATCTAGAACAAATGAACTCTCTCTCAGCCATGAGCCTTTGGCCAGATTATCAGTACTGGGCATAAAATTCCCTCTTGTGTAACAGTCCTTAAATCCAATCAGAAAGCACTTAGTCACCCCATCACAGTCAGGTGTTCCAGTAGGCACCTGTTGCCTGGCTGGTAGGTAGTGAAGCAACTGTGTTCCCCTAGATATGTCTTTTCTCCACCAACTGCGTGCATAGCACTTCACAGTGCTACAAAAGGAGGAAGAGAGCTTCCAGATTGGTTTGAGAATGATTTCTCTATGGTCTGAAGCCAAAATGTGCTGCATTTTCAGCAAGAGAATCTTGTCATGTAGCTATGGTAGATAACCAAGAACAACAGAGATAGCCTATTTTGTTAAAACCATATTTTTCAAAACTAAGAATTTTTGTGTATCTTATTGGGTTTCCAAATTGCCAGTCCCCCAGTTTTCTGCTTTTCAAGACAAAGAAGAGACTGTAAGTGATGAATAGGACTAGAGTCAACCATCCAACTTTCTGTACTCCATATTATCAGAAACACAGTGTATCACTAATATGCTTAAAGATCACAGGAAATGTGAATGACCCAGGGAAAATATATTGGCTAGAACTCTGTGAGGGCCTGAGTTCACATCCTTCAAACATACATAAACATTAGCACAGGTCTGTAACCACTGGGATCCTAGGTTAAGAAGGAAGGCACAGTCAGGAAAATCCCCCAGAAGCTCATGGGCCTGATAGCCCACCTTATTCAACAGAGACCCTGTCTCAAACAATGTAGAAGGAGGGTACCAGCAACTGAGTTTGTCCTCTGACTTCTGCATTACACCCAGAGGTCAAAACCATGTTGAGTATGACTCCTATTAGACAATCTACTATTGTGTGATCTTTCTCCATGGTGTCTGTATAATCCATATCAATTCCTCAACATGTAACTTTCTACTTTTATTTTTTGATGTGTATGTGAGTGTGTGTGTGTGTGTGTGTGTGTGTGAGAGAGAGAGAGAGAGAGAGAGAGAGAGAGAGAGAGAGAGAGAGAGATTTGCATGAAAGACGGGGGTATATAAATGCATGGTTTTGACCTCTGGGTGAGAACGTTCACTGTGATGGGTGTGGGTAGTTCTCTACTAGACAGTCTTTAATTTGTCACCACTCAGTAAATTACCACAGTCTAAGTAAGTGGGGGAAATACTGAAGGAATATTCTCCTGGTCCAATTAATTGAAAAGGTTTTGAACATCTATAAAATCACAGCCAAGACTTAGGAACTTCTCATTAAAATACAGATACTTTTAGTGCTTGTGTTTTGTTCTTTCTATTAAATTCTCTACCAAGAGAGTATATAGTTAATTTTTTTTTCTTAGAGCTCACCAGGGGATTATAGCCATCACTCTTCTAATTGGAAAGTAGGTATTAGAGCTTCTAACATATCTTATTCCTAAATTTCCACACTCACTTTAAGATTCCTTGTTTAAAATATTTATCAATTAAGGTTGAAATGCTGATTTACCTATGATTAAGAAGCGCTCACTTCTCTGTAATTTCAAAAGAAGCTGCTACAGACACAATATTCTTTCCTTTTAAGGTTACATCCTGGATGCCACTATCTACCCACTATCAAAACGAGTCTGGATATTGTTAACTTAGGGAAATAGCATTATAGTCTTTAGCTGAAAACTGAATATCCTTAAAGTCCACAGAAGCCTGCTGGCAAGTCTTATATGACCTCTTCATGAAACTGACCAGAGAACATCAAAATAATAATTGTGATGTGCATATAGAATGAACCTAGGATCTAATATTCAGCATGCATAAACAGAATTGCTAAGCAAAAATTACATATGTCACTATGTGTGCTCTGTGGTGCAAACCAGTAAAACATTCTTGTCTTCCAACTGCTTCTTGAAAGAATGCCTTTCACTGTGAATTTTTGGATATTTACTATCAGAGGCCTCTTTTCCTCTCTTCAGAGACAATTGTCCCTCGCCAGTTTGCACCACTTTAAATCCATTAAGGTTTCATCCTAGAGATTCAGTGAAGCAAACAAAAGCTTCATGGAGCCATACTGAATGAACAAAAACCACATCATATTAACTCTGTCTCTTCTCACTGCCCTTCTCCCATCAACTATGGGAAGTAAGAGAGATAAACAAAAGTGCAAACAAAAGCCTATACATACAGGGAGTTTTGAGGGTTTTTTTTTTTCTTTCTATTTTTAACTTATGCTTGCTCAAGCAAGGCCTTCCTAATGCTGCCAAAGCTTTCTGACATCACAAAGTCCTTTTCTGTGAGTCATTAAAGCCCAGAAAATGAAATTTAGTTTAGGTCTGTTTGATAATGCAATAACACAGTAAAATATAATTCACCAATTAGCTCATGTAATTGAATAATCCAAAACATGCTCCAAAAGGGTTGCAGAGGCAGAGTCCACCACCCTGATGGCTCTATATGTTTACTGATGACAACTGCATGTATTCCTTCTGTCAATGATGTCCCTCGATGTTTCTTATGGAAAAGAGTCTACAAATCTCTGTTGTTGTGGATCTATAGAATACTTGGCTTCATTGCTTACTGATTTCTCTTTTTATGAGCTCTTAGTCTCCATGTACTATATTTACATTTTGTAAGGATGCAAAATGAAACTGATGTTACAACCTTAAAAAAGAAAAAGAAAAGAAAAAAGGAAACAATTGCAATTTTGTAGTTGAAAAACTATGTTCCTTGATGATTCCTGAATTCTAATGATATTGTCAAGACATACTTGAGAGGTGGGGGAGCAAGACAGTTGAGATGTTCTTCTCAGAAATTTTAATTGGCCAAGAAATCTGTGGCAGATAAAAATAGGAATTCAATGTTTGTTAGATCGTTTTACAGCATTTCCTCATAATTCTCTAAGCACAACTGTTGAATCATAGGTACCTAGCTATATTCAAAATTTCTCTTTCTAAATTCAGATCAGTTCAAGGATTGTTTTGATGGTTGAAACAGTTTCTAATGAGGAATTTCAAAGTGTCTCCTACTTTATTCATTTATTACTTCTGAAGTATCTGGGCATGTTTTCATGGTCCAGGGCTTCCCAGTAAGCAAAATAAAGAGTAATTGGAATGTATTACCTGAACTTGAATCAGTAAAGAAATGGAATTTCTTAGATAACTCGGTCATTTATTTTTTTTTCTTTGTTATTTTACATATCGATCCCAGTTCCCTCTCCCTCCCTCCCTCTTTCTCTCCTTTTCACCTTCCCTCCCTCTCCCTCCCATGCCTTTTCCCTTCCTTCCTCCCATGCCCCCAACCACCCTCCCATCCCATTCCCCCCAACCCCACTCCACTGGTAGGGTGATGCCTTCCAGGAAGGGTCAACAGAATCTGCCAAGTCATTTGGAGTAGGGACTAGGCCTTCCCTCCTGCCTCTAAGTTAGGGGAGTATCCCTCCATGGGGAATGTGCTCCTAAAGTCCTTTCATGCAACTCTGTCATTCTTAAGTAGTTCTGCCCCTCAAAAGAAAGAAATGGAGGAACAAGAAGAGAAGGAGGAGGAAGAAGAGGAGTGTGGGGTAAATCACATATAGTTGCACTATCATTTTAAATGTCATACTTTAGATAGTATCCATAAGACCTAAACACATGTTAGCAAGCAATTTCCTTTGTAATTATACCATCACCCTTAGATAATTTGTTTATAAACCTATAATGCATATTTTGCTTTGTCCCCTCACATAAAAAACAAATAACAACATTCTAAGTGATAAAATCATCATTATTTTTTTGTGTCTCATTTCGTCTGGGGAAAAAAAAATAATCCAAAGCACAACATGAAGGAAATATTCTCTAATGACAGGTGTGTGCCACTACAACTGGAGTTTCCCAACAGTTTTTCAATGTAGAATCTCATCTTCACAATGCATTAGTAATTCTCTCCCTTTTCTCTCCTTATAGGTCAATGGAACAGAAATTGAATATGAATTTGAAGAAATTACATTGGAGAGGGTAAGAAAGGATTTCAAATTTTTAAGTTTGCATTCTACCTTCCAGGTCCTAATTTGTTGTATAATGAAGTTGCAATATTATATTTCTTAACACAAAGTTATGTACAAGATTTCTAGGAGAATAGTAGTGAAATCTTGTGGTAGAGAATATTTAGATAGAAGACTGAGTAACCAGAATGTTCAATTCGTTCAATCGTGTTGGCAGGGATTTGGCAAATGAATGGCAAAGGCAGAAATGGCCTAGGAGCTTGTGCAATTCTTTATTCTGGATATTTTGTTATTAATAATTTGGCTGTATGTTTCTAAGACATATTATAAGATGGTCTCAGTTGTGTAATATTGATGTTGCAATCTGACCTACAGATGCCACACATCTTCTGTTGCAGCAACAAAAGAGTGATAAGCTTAAACCTATCGCCAAAGGCAGACACAGCACCCCTGTAGAGCTCTGAAAATATTCTAGAAAGACATTGGCACTGACTTCTGACAAATAAAGGAAACTGTGCTACATAGCCTAGTGTATTTAGCTATTTTACAAAACAGCAAAAGAAATGTCAAAGACAATCTAGAAAAAGAATTGTCATGAAACATTAACAGGATAGTCATCATTTCAAAAGATGAGCGTATATAAAACTGCTTACTTACCCTCGTTAGAAAATGAAGATAGAGAGCATGAACAGTTTAGTATCTAATTGTAAATATTTCAAAAGAGTCTTAATATACAGGGACAATGAGTAGTCCTGAAAAATGTTAATTTGGAAACAGGGATTAAAAACCTCAAAAATAAGACTAGTTTTAGAGACATAATTACATTTTGAACGTTTGACAAATTTCACAAAGACTGCTCATATTTGTACTGTTTATAACACAGAAGGCTCAAAAATATGTTTACAACTTCATTATATACACATATATAAAATCTTATTTAAATTTAATTACATAAAATGTTAAATTACATTTCAATATCATTTTAGAATACTATGCAATTTCAGGAATACAAAGCATATCTCAATAATGTTAATCAATTTTTAAATAATTTTAAAGTGGTTTTAAAATATAATCAAACATAGATTAAATTGATTTAAACAAAACTCTTTATATTTCAAATAGTTTTAGCAAAAGTGGAAACATTTTAAAATGTTCTATTCGTTGAACAAAAGAGAGGGAAAGTGAAAATGACAGAGTGAGGGACCCCATGGTCTGTTTAAGCCTTCTCACCAGCTGAGAATCAAGGATTTGAGCATAATTAGTACTGTTGACTGTGAGGGTTACTGACAGACATTAGCAAGCAATTTCCTTTGTAATTATAGAATCACCCTTAGATGATATATTGTTTATAAACTCAAAATGAACCTTTTGTAAGGTCCCCTCCTCCAAAAAGCAAATCACAACACAAAGGGATGGAATCATTGTTGATTATTTTTACAGTGTTTCTTTTTGCTTTGGCAAAAACATAATCAGAAGCACAAACACAAAAGAAATGTTCAGGAATGGCAGGCATGTGGTGGCAATATAGTTTGTGAGGTATGGTGAAAAATGTAAACAGTGACCCTCTTAAACTCAGAAACTATGCAACTACATGGGTCTCACTGTGCTCTTGATTCTTCTCCCCTCCCTGAGTAGGCCTTTTTTATATAGGTATTTTATATGAAAAAAGCAATGCACCAGATTTAAAGCCTGGACATGTATGATTTTGGTGAGGACATTGTACCTCTCTAAGACATCTAGGCATCTCAAACAAGGCTATTAACTTTTGTATCCTGTGGAGCTCTCCCAACTCCCTGCATCCCTGTGACCTAAAGTTTTACCTTATCAACTGGATCCGTGTCAGATACCCCTTGGGAACCATCCTGTGATACATTTATTTTTATTAGCAGCTCTTGAGAATAATAGCTCAAGAAGTCACCAAAATCCTTTAAATAGCTTGTAAGCATAGTGACATGTGACTCTTATTTGAGAAGCTGACACCCCTACTTGTGTGTGTCATTCTTTCGGTTAATATTGCTCTATTAACTCCTGTACTTAAAATCTATGAATAATGATTTTATAAATTCCAACCATGCTTCATAATATTTATTAAAATAACACAACAAAAATATATATTTATATGATATACATATATGAATACATAAGTGAAACCTGAAATGATATACATGAATCTATTAGGATTTAGTTGCTTCTTTTTTCATGTTTTCTAAACTTCTTTAATAATTTATAATACAATATAGTAAATTATATAACAATTTATATGAAATGAAAACATAATTAATACCCTGTGAGTGATCATTCAAGTATGAATTAATACTATAGACATTTATTCATTTGTATTTCCTCTTTAATTTCTTGATATTTACTTTCATGACTCAACATTCTCATTTAGTCTAATTTTTATTGAGAGTGAGTAGTCTTAAAGAAATTTACATAGGAAGCTAAGTGCTTTCCAGATGGAGTCTTTAAAACATCCATTATGGACTTTGATAAAAATTTAATAGCATTCTAAATAGAAAAAGTGATATTAGGGGAAATTAACTCAAATGAGAGAGGGAAAAAAGCAAAACTGCACACACTTGTAAATCACTAGTCTCCAGTGAGGTACAGTACAAGATGAAAGTGTGCAGCCTATGTAAACCCAAGGCCTATGCAACTAAGCAGGGTGCACTGTATTTTATTTTTCTCCCTTCCCCTACTCAGTGGACACACATCTTTAAGAGAGCATTGCTTTGTTTTGATTTTTTTAGCTTGCCTCTGTAGCACTGCAGATAACTAAAGGCTAATACAAGTTGAGAAAGAGCATTCTCATGGAGTCATATAATTGTAGGTTCTAGCCCAGAGTCTCATATTTATTTACTTCTTTAACCCTGAACATGTTGCATCTTCTCCCTGTTTCCCTGTCCTTCCACCCCCAATCATACACTGACACTTGTCCTTTCCATTAACTGTGTACCTTCCAAATCCTCTCCCAAATTTCCACTGTCTCCATTAGGACTTGAGTTACTGATTTCATGGTTTCCCCATAGTTTTCATCCTTTATATCCTCCATTCCCTCCTTCATACAAAATGCTGGTCCAGTATTCCAATTTTCCATCTCATATACTCTTCACTTACTTTTCTCCTTTATCTTGTTTGTTTCATACATCAAAATCCCAGTTCTGTTAACTAGTGATTACACCACCCCTTTTTATCCATTTCACATAAGCACCTTAGGTGCAGGCTATGACCAGAGAAACACTCACTCAGCTTGCTTGAAATTCCTAACCATTGACTCATGATTCTCAAACTCTCCTGATAATTCTTAAGCATTTCTGTAGAAAAATCCCTTTCTCTTCTCTAAGACAACAACTTTCACATATTCTTTGAGCTCTTCAAATCTCTAAAGTCCTCTCCCTCACCTTCACTTTCAACTGACACCTGCCCTCCATGTGTCCTTGAGAAAAAGTAAGAAAGGATTTCACTTCTACCTGATTATTTTTTCTGTCATCATGTAGCAGTGAAATTTTTTAGGAAATGAAATATTTTTTTTCTGCTTCCTTTGCAGGGCAACTCTTAATTTGTGAGCTGAATTTTATAACCTTGATCATTTAATTACTTTGGTTCTACAGTGTTCATCTGTTCTTTTGCATTATTCCTTTCTCTAGGTTTTCCTTGAATAACTTTGATACAGACATTGCATAATATCTATAGTTAAACAGAGGGTGCCACTTGACCAAATATGTCCCTACCATATTGTCTATCTATTGCTACATTAGTCTACTTTGCTTCTAAGACAAGTGTATAATTTTATTTATTATAATTAAAATATTTTTGTTTTCCTTTTTTTTATTTTGAGATAAAGTCTTACTTTCTGACCTAGACCTTGCTTCACAGAACAGGCTGATCTCAAAGTTGCAAGGAGTAACTTCCCAAATGCCAGAAGTACAGGTATGCATCATGATTCCTAGTTCTTACCCCATTTTAACATACTTCCGGTTTCACCCCCACAACTTAAAACTATCTCTGTCATAGTTATGTTAGTTTCAGTCTTGCCCAATCTGAGCATCAGTTCTCAGTCCTAACTTATTTTCCAGGAACATTTGGTATAGCTGTCACTAATTCATCAAAAAATATCACTTTTTAACTTCTAGAGCAACATATTTATCTATGCTCTCCTTCCTTTGCTGGCAGCCCCCCCCCCTTTTTTTTTTTTTTTTTTTTTTTTTTTTTGCTTTCTTGCTATTGTTCCTCTAAATGCTGGATGACTCCAGTTAGACACACCTCTTTGCTAGCTCTCTCTTCCAGATCTGTGGCTGACAATCCCCTATGGCTTCATCTTCTAAATTTGAAGTTGTGACCTTCTCTCTCTGTTCATTGTCTACCACTGACTATCTGTCTTATGTGTTTTACGAATTTGCTTAAATACCAAGGGGTCCTTTCCCCTGGGCTCCCTCCTTCAGATCCCTAATATTTTCTCATCTAAGAGGCCTTATCAGAGCTAAATGGATCTTCTTTCTTACTTCTTATTTAGTCAAAATTATCTTCAAGATCTCATTTATTTCTTTTCCTCAGGATCCATGAGCAGGACTGCACATACTTCCATAAAATGTATATTTCAAAATCAACCAGTTTTTACTACCCTTTCTGTAGAATCATTATTCAAAGCCAGCTCGTGCATTCCTAAACCACTCTGATAGCCTCTCTCACTGTTTTCCAAACAACCAGGATAGTACTTTTCAAAACACAAGCTAGGCTATACTACTTTTATTATAAAAACCTTCCAAGAAATGGGAATTGTACCCATCATCATCAATAAGGCTCCACAAGATGTCTTTCCCATGCCTCTGTCTTCACACATCTTGCTTTATCTGCACTGAAAGTCCTGGAATTCCTCAAAAAGTCTGTGATTTTCTTGCCTCAAGGCCTTGCTAGTGGCTATTCATTCTTCTTGAGGATATGTATGTATGTATGTATGTATGTATGTATGTATGCATATATATTATATATATGAAATTAGAATCACATTTTCAA